CTTTAATACCCTCCTCTCTCTCTCTCTCTCTCTCTCTCTCACTTTCTCTCTATCGACATAAAATTGGTTTTCTGTCTAAATCCCTTTAAATCTCTCTTTAATGTGGATAGAGAAAAACCCTCCAAAACAAAAACCCATCAGTTTTAGAGAGAGAAACTCCGGCAAAGACAACACTGACGGTGTTTCATGACCCAAAATCTTGATGAGGCGCAAGGAAACGACGCACCCCTTTTAAAATCAACAGAAAATTCATAAAAACTTCAATGGAGCTTCTTTTTTAGGGGCCATTTTCAATATCTCAACAAGTGCAATCAGTGTTGGAATCGTGTTCATTACTCCAATCCTTAAGGTCTTGGGTGTGAATCTTGTAATTTTCCTGGCGATTTTCATTGCTATTTTGATGAATTTTTCAGAGCAATTTATGCTGAAATTTATGAGTGCAGTATTTCTACTTGTGATGGATTAATGGGGAATCATTTGATAAGATTGGGAAAGTTCTTCTACAAAATTGTGTGAGAATCAGTAATTTTGTGATGACCACAAAAACCTCGCCTAAAGAGCTCGATGCAAGGGAAACCGGGATGAGAAGTTTCTCTCTCATGACTTTTACAGGTCAACTGGGTGACATGGCATTCCATATTCCTCGAGATGTGGACCGGAATCCTATGGCCATACAGAGAGGTCTCATATCCCACATTGTATGGAAGGTAACTAATGTGGGCAAGCTACAACGATGCCTGATTGACGCCTAACAATTAATTCTTGCCGCTCTTATATATATGCAATAACATTATGTGGTTTTCTTTTTTTAAAATATGAGCTTGATTCGTGAGAGTAACTCTAACTCGCCCAAGAAAATCGCCTTGGTTAGGGCCCGAATACTTTGGCCGAGTTGATTTTTTGAACCTTGGCTATGAATAATGTTTCACTGGTATTGAAGGCAATAGTTATGGTAATGGAACCTATTTAGCAAGCATCCCAAACATGAAGAGGCATTGATTTGGGTTTATTTCCACTCTAACTTCCCTCAATTCAACCTCGTCGACGACTTCCATTTCTGATAACCGGTATCAAAGTGCTCGTTAGCAAATACGTTTGCATCTGTTTGATCAATGTATAGTCTCACTATTCTCCACCAATCTAGGATTGAGGGGGAAGAAACAACCCCAGTAGTGGAAGGAGAAAGAGAGAGAATGAAATCTTTGATGATTGCGATAATCCTCAGAGAGGCAGAAAAAAGTATTGTGTATGTTTCATTAAAAGAGGAATCATATAAATATACAAGAGGTTTCTATATGTGACACATGGTACATATCCACTTTAAGGAAAAATATGCAGAAATATACAAAGATCATATTTCTACGTATTTCAAATAATATGAAGGAATATATTTCCATATCTTTTAAACAGCCATTCGTGCTCAAGGTGCCTTGAAAGAGAGTAGTTGAAATTTGGATAATAAGTAAGGAAAACACATAATAGGATAAGTCTTGGTAAGAAGATCAGCGTCTTGGTGTGCTAATGGAATAAAAGGATGTGTAATGATCCCTTATAAATACGATGACCATTAAAATGTTAATCAATTTCATTGTGCTTTGTTCGCTGATAAAATATATTATTGTAAGCTACTTGAA